CTCTCTCTCTCTCTCTCTCTCTCTCTCTCTCTCTGACTTGTCCCTGTCCCCAGGGGCTGACTAGCAGGGTACATACTGGCTGAATGGCCATGGTCAGGCCTTGCCCTAGCCTGCAAGTAGGGCCCTCAATGGGAATAGTATGGGGAGTGATGGTCCTGCATTTCTGTGCCCATCCTGTCATCCCAATAGTGGGTACTTTCCCAGAGAGCCACCTCACCATGGGAGGAGGCACAGCAAAAGGACCCATTCCTCTCGGGCGGTGGACATGGCTGGGAGTGGTTCCAATTCCCAAGCACATAGCACTGCCAGCTCATCAGGCACACACAGCACATACCTGGATGAGTGATGCTGCAGCTGGGATCTGCCGGTTGAAGTGCTTCTGCCTCTGCTTCTGCTGGACCTTCAGGGCGAACCCGGAGCCAAGTATCCCCTGGTAAGGGACAGAAGGTGTCCACTTCACATGGGCCATGCTGGGCAGTTCCCAACAAAGGACAAAGGTCCCAAGGAAGAACAAGAGGCAAAAAGCACCTGGAGACCAGGCTTGCACAGTGCCCAGGGCTGTGGCAAGGCAGGTACCACCAGGAGGTGGGTATGAGATACAGCAGATGCCACCTGAGGGTAGTCACTAGGCTCAGCCTGCTTGACCTCGCCACCCAGGGAGGCAGAACCCACTTCACAGGGCTGATTCAACATGAAGCCTGGCTCCAGAAGAGATCTGAGTCTCTATCTGTTCCTAGGCACCACCTGTGGAAAGCCAGGTGGGTTAGCTATGGTAGAGGGACCATACCCCCAGGGGAGCAGGGGTTTGTGTCTGTCATCAACAAGGAGCCCACAGCTACTGCAGCCAGGGTGGCCAAGGAGAGCAGTGGCAGAGAAAGAGTGTTGCCTTAGCAGCTGGGGGCCATGCAGGAGACACACACCATATGTCATGACCTATGTCTATATGTCACACATGCATGTACAACAGACACAAAAACACACATTGTCTGCCATGTGCTGCAGAGACTCATGCAACAGATACTATATAGCTGTGGAACATATGTGCAAATATATGTGTACACATGACACACAGGAAATCACAAATACATCTATAAATAACACATGTACACATACACAGAACACATAGTAAATATGCTATTCAAATGTAACACAGATACTTATGCATGCAATACATGTGTATAGTATGTATATATAACATGTATAAGACACACCTACAATGACACATATGTACAAGTAACCAGTGTGTGTCCCACATAGCACACATGTGTAGACATGGGTCTGTGATTTCTGGAAAGGTCATGAGATAGAGCTACTCCTAGCTGCAGAGCAGGCCTACAGGTCTGCCCTGTCTGCTCCTCTGTACCTTACTGCTTCTGTCAAGCACCACAACAGGCTACCTTGTACTCTACTTCAGGGGATACCCAGAGTTGGGGCAAGGATTCATGGGAAACAAGGGAGAAGGTCCAGATGGGTGCCTACCGCTGGGAGTGCGAAGAAGGATATGGCAAAGACAGAGAAACAGGAGGCGATGGTCTTCCCGACCCACGTCTGGGGTACCTTATCCCCATAGCCAATGGTGGTGACTGTGACCTGCAAGGAAGAAGGACCACAGTCAGTGGCTGGTGGGATGAGAACCTCAGAAAGGACACCCGCTGGCCCCAACCCAGTGTCTTGATAACAAGAGAGCCGACCTAAAACCCTGTCCACCATGATAGTGAGGCACAGTTCGGAGAAAGTGCCAGGGACGGCACTGGTAAATTGGTTCAAGTTTCTGTCTTCTTAGTCCCTCAACTCTACCACAGATGGCACAGCCCTGGGGTTGTAGAGAGCTTGGGGTGTGCAGGACAGGCAAACAGCTCAGAGGCCACCCACAGGGGCCAGGCTTCCTGCCCCATCCCAAGGAGCCCTGTCCTGGCCACCGAAGTTGCAGTACACTGGCCCCCAGGAGGCCGGAAGCTCCCACTGAGGCCAGCAGTCCACAAAGGCCCAGGATGGGGCTGAGTGCTGCTTCCTGCCACCAGCCCAGGGATCCAGATGTTTCATTTTTCCTTTTCAGAGAGAATAAGACAAGGCGCTAGCCTTCTTCTCTGTGGGAGAGCAGCGTCCAGGGTGTGCGGTGGGACAATAGGAGTGAGGGGCTGCCCCCCTAGGCCACCCCCTGCTGTCATCTGAGGTTTGCTCCTGAGCCCTCTGATGAGGGACTTGGGGGCCCACCCTGGCTGTGCCTAACTGCTAGGTCATACCATGAGGCTGCCTTGGGCTTGCTGGAGAGACCAGGGTGGTCACACACACTCACACACAGCCACTGGGGTCACAACACGCTGTCCAGGTCTGCCCTGCAGCTAAGGCAGGTCAGTGCGATGGGAGAGCCTGCCCATTCAAGGTCTTCACAGCCTGCTCACTCTAGGTACCTCAGCTGTCACCCCAGGGGCCAAGTGACAACCCCCACCCAAGACCTTCATGAGAACCCCTAAGTGACCCCTGCCCAACAGGGTCAGCAAGGATGAAGCCTGGGGAACACCACCTAATAGACTCCAATTGAAGTGAGGACCAGAGAGGAAGCCTCAAGATCCCTCCTGGCCATCACTGCCCACTCCATTCCCAGAGAGACTGCACTTTGGACCACTGCTGTTCCCCAGTGGCCACTGAGGAGGAAGGGAAGGCAAGAGAGGTCTGGGGATCAGAGGTGACCAGGCACATGTGAGTGGATATGGGGATAGGTGCTCACTGTGCAGGCAAGTACTCTGAGCAAGTACAGCCGTGGGGCAGAGGACAAGGACAGCAGGAGTAACCCCACAGTGCCAAGTCTGTCACTCTGGCCAGTATGCTAACAGGCCATGAATCAACAGGTCAATTTCCCTGAATGGCAAACAACAGAGCAGGCCACAGCTGGGCCCAGGCCACCAGTGGGCCACCCCTTCAGTGCTGCACCAGGCTGCAGGGGCTGCATACTGGTGTTTCCCACAACTGCCCACATGAAACGTTCCCCACAATGTCATTAGCCTTAAACAAATCCACACCCCGCACAAACAGAGGGCATAGCAAGTCATTCATGGCTGGGCCCTTTAAAGGGACCACCCTGTTCTACATATGTGGCCATACACTTGTAAACGTGCCTCACAAGGAGACAGGGACACCCGCTCACACTCACACACACACATGTGGGAACATGCACCACTGACAGAAATGAGACACCATGAGGGTGTGCATACACACTGCATAAGTTCACAAAGAGGTCTAAAAGTCACATCCATGACTGACAGCTAGGGCACATGCTGTCCAGACAACTTTTACACACCCACACACCTACACACACACACACACACACACACACACACACACACACACACACACACACACCTGAAACAGCTCAGATTGTGTAAGTAGAAGCCAAGCCACTCTTGGGACTGAGGGCATGGCTGCCAGCAGGCTGCTGAATGAGAAGGCCCAAGTGAGCTGAAGCTCCTAGCTAGTAGTGTCTTCCCAGCGGGACTGTACCCCACATGTGAGAGCTGGCCCACAGCTGCCTTCTTTAGGGAGCCAAGCACATGTCAGGAGCTACTTACAAAGGCAGACCCTGGGCTGCAGCCATCAAGAGTTCAAGGTCATCTGGGATATATAGTTTGTTTGAGGCTAGCCTGGGCTATATGAAACCTATCCCCCCCCCCCAAAAAAAAATAAAGGAAGGAAGGAAAACATCTATAAAGGTGGAAGGGTAATGGTCTAGATGGCAAGCTGGGAAGAAACACAGGTGAGCGGGGAGGAAATTACTTATGCAAGAAAGAGACCTGAGGCCATGCCTGTGCCTTTTCCCTAGGGTCTTAACTGCCCCTCCACTCCTACGATCAGTAGGAGGAAGGCTCCAGTGCAGTGGTCCTGAGTGCTGGCCAGTCCTCTGTTGGAGGGTACCTAACTACTAGGACCCTCTTCCTTCTCCTGGGCCACCACAGCCCCCCAGTCCAGTTCATGAGTCCTCACTCTCAGGTGACCTGTCCCTGTCAAATTGTTTTTCCTGAAATCACAGAGACAGCAATTCAGGAATGGGCCATTTTATAGAGCTGTCTAGAACCTGTCCCCAACAGCCAGATCTTGCAAGTCTCCTGGGCCAGTGAACAGAGGGGACCTATCTAGGACCCAACCAACAGTAGGTCACCTGAGCCATCCACTTGAGTTCACAGATCGCTGTCCCAATGACAGAACCTGCAGGGCAACCTATGGTTCATGGTCCCCCTCATCCTCTGGAACAAGCTCCAGTATCAAGGAATAAAAGACTGGGAGAGCTTCCAGAACTAGTGGTACCTAGTCCTCTCCTTTTGAGTCTGGAGGAGGTCTGGTCCAGAATCTACAGTCACAATCATGGCTGGAGCTCAGCTTCCCGCATGCTCAGTGACTTAACTCTTATTTATAGTCTTGGATTAGATGTATCCAAAGAGGTTAGGTGACATATCCCGGACCACACAGCTGATGCCTGGTGAGTACAGCTTGGTCTCTACATCAGCCTCCTACTGGGTCACCCCTGTAACTCACATTTCACTACCTTCTGACACTGTCTGCTTCCTCCAGGCGGAAGGGTAACTGGGAAGCTCTATTCCTGAGCCTCATACAGGCACCTCCTCAATGGCATGAACCAAACCCCTGTGCACCACCATCACCAGACCTTCTGATTCTATGTAATACATCTGTAGGCGCTGGCTATTGAACAACCACAAGATGGGTGTACTTTATAGACTCCTAGTCGTCCTCTAAAGACCCCTCCTTGGGAAGAGCTCACTGGCAAGGGTCCCTGGCAGGCCCTCCGCCCTAGCTGCATGATACTCACAGAACCTACATGGAAGAGGAAAAGGCTGAGTGCTACAAGCCCTGGCCCCTGCTCTAGCCTCCACTTCTCCGGAGTCAGAATATTCCTGAAGAATCACATCTCCTGTGGATAGTTCCACAGAGCTTGCATGGGATCATCTAGGAGACCTCCCCACCCCAAAACCCCTCCAGTCTGACTCTGCAGGATACAGTCCAGCCTGGGAGGTGGGAACTTTCCAAAGCCTCCAGGTGAGGAATGAAATGCTGTCAGACTGGGTTTTTTAAGGGACTGAAACACAGGGTGGGGTTCCAGCCTGTTCACTTTAGTTCTGTATTTATCCACTCGGGGTAAACAGAGCCCAGCAGCCGCCTGTTTTCAGAGACCCCCAGGCACTAAACAGAGGAGCCCGTGTTTGCAGAAACGGCTTTTTCCTGTGCTCAAACCCTAATACAAACAAATGCATTCTGTTCCAGAGGTAAGGGGAAAGTCTGAGGAGCTCCCCAAATGCTTCACAGCCACACTTGGACGTTACATTAGGGGGTTCTGGGACCTCACACCCATGTAGATATTCCAGCCAGAGGAAGGGGACACAGTCCCATGGAGCAGGCACCTTTGTTTTCCAGCTTATGGGAGCCCATGGTCCGTGAAGACAGGCAGCCCCACAAAATACTGCCTGGATACCTACATTCTGGACTTAACTGTGTCCCCCATATGGCTCACCGCCCCCTCACACACACAGACTATGGTCTTTTTCAGAATTACAGCCTTCTTCTGGGTCCCCTGGGTAGATCCTAATCCAGTGATATGTGTCCACGTGAAACACAAAGGAACGACACAGGGTGCTCGGACCCCCAGAAACCAGACTTAATAATGAAAGGCCCTCCTCACAGAGCCTTCCAAGCGAGCACAGTCCTGCTCCTGCCTCAGTTTCAGACTTTGGTCTTCAGCGCTGTGGGATCTCGACAGAACAGGACACACTGAATCCACCAGCAGTGTGGCAGTGGACAGGCTTTCCTGTCCCCATTCATCTAGTTCACTGGCCAGCGGAGGACCCTCAGCTTGATCACAGCCTCTCCAGGCTAATAAGGTGAGAGAAGTTCCAACCCATGCAGGCATGCCTCTATGCCCAGTCCTACCCCAGTGTACCTTAGGGGAAGCTAGTCCAGCTCTTAGGGTCCAGCCAATACCCTTTAGGATAGGGGACAGGGCTTAAGGCCTGGCCTGGGACAGACACAGCAGATAGTAGAGGGGTCTGTCTGGCCTTCTGAAAATTCTCTCACGTGTGGGTGCTCACCCCACCCCACCCCCGACACACACACACACACACACACACACACACACACACACACACACACACACACACTACAGATGAGAAGCCCAGGAGCAGGGTGGAGCTGTACTCCCCTTGTGGAATGAGGGGAGACAAAGGAGATGACTGTTCATTGGCACAAGGCTACAGAACTCGGAGCCCGGCTGCCCCTGGCCTGCAGCACTCAAGTTCTGCTTACCCTAGAGGTGCCAGGAACACAGCCTTGGGCTGCTCCCACCAGACAGCTGCAGAGACAGCCGCTGAATGAATGGGGGCTGCTGGCCCCCTGAGCTGGGTGCTGGGGGGCCCTAGGCAGCCAAGGGCACAGGGCCTCGTGGGAACAATGGCCAGGCCAGGGTGCGCTGTGGCCGAGGCCCGGACTGCAGCTGACAGAGTACGCCGGAGCACCGGTGCCAAGCTGGGCACAAAGGGGCCGTGTTCCCGGCCGGCGGGCGGATGTTTGCACAGGTGTGGGAGTGGGGGCGCCTCTCTGCCGAGGACTGGGGGGCCAGGGGCCAGGGGGCTGGGAAAGAGCTCCTGTAGGAGGCTGGGAACGCAGGCAGGGTAGCCCCAAGGCTGGGCACTGCTAAGTTTGGGCACCACTTATCAGCCACACTGTGGGTAGTCACCCACCCACTTCCTGCTGTACCTCAGCCAGCATTGCCCCTCTCCCACCAGAGAACTCTGGCTTTGAGTAGCCTTCCACCCCCACCTCCATGCAGGCCCAGCTATGGCCCTGGGATGTGTCCCCCTATCACAGGCAAGCTTCCTAACCAGGGCATTGAGCTGTCCTACCCATCCTGCTTATTCCTGTCATACCAGGGTATCTGGGGGACATTGGCCCCTGAAGGGTAGAAAGAGGCCTGCCCCAACCTGGGAGCTTGTCAGCATGCCCTTACCTTCCCTAAGTTGTTTAGAATGCTGGAAATATCCAGAAAACAGACTGACTCAGCCAATGTCAAGATGTTGTGTACCCTGCTTCCTGGGGGCACTCAGGAATTGTGGGAACATGCATTTGCCCCAGCTTCCTGTCTCCACCTTAATCTAGAAGCTCTGAGAGTGAGCAAGCCTCAAAACTGTTCATTCCTGGCTGGGGTATTTGGGAACAAACACTTAAACCAGGGCCCAATGTGGCCATTACCACCACGTGTGGCTGCTTGCCCTGCGCCAGGTTCCCAGAGCCTGTGCTGTCCCTTTCTGTAGATTGCCACAATCCAACCAACCTTTCACTAGCCTAGTGAGCCCCAAGGCCGACAGACTGAGAATGTTGGATGGGATGGGCTTGGCTCTGGTATCCTCATGCCCACCCAGGGGTACCAGCCCTGGTAGCTCCTCCAGGAATAATGGTGCCTCTCTGTATAACATCTAGACAGCCTATTGCCCTCACAGCTGGGGGTGGGGGGTGAGATAGAGTCAGGGGTAGCCCACAACTGCTCTGAACTGTGTGTTCCTGTTAGGTATTTGTGTTCCCTGGAGTGCAGGGGTCCTCAACATTCAATGCCTGAACAAAGCCTGCTTTCAGAGGAGGACCTGAAGGCCATGTGACAGCAAACAACTTCTGGAGGACACTGGCAGTCAGAAAGCCCCCTAAATTGCCTTAGCCACAGGTTTTTTGGCCATGAGCAATGGTTCCAAGCGCTCTAAGAGTGTAACCTGGATTTCTTCAGCACCATCCTCTCGGGAACCTCTCCTTCCCTTGTCTTCTAGCTGACTCCTGGGGAGTCATAGTCTACCCCCAACACTCACTCACTCTCTCACTCTCTCTCTCTCTCTCTCT